CACACACACACACACACACACACACACAAAACACTGCAACAGTCATAAATGCATGCTAGCTGCCAAGTGCCTGACTTTTGATCAAATGATTGTTGGAACAATCGCAAGTATGAGGACTGGTTGCACGTCACTTTTTCAGTGCTGCTGTAATTTCAAATGGTCGCTAAATGAATCGTCGTAAGTCGAGGTCCTTCCAAAACCTGAAATTTAATACCAACACAGAAAGCGGGCAAATTGAGGAGCCTCAGGAAAATAGACAAAGCAGAAAACTTTACTTTTGTCAACTATTTGAGGTTATCAAATGCTCGGCAGCAAGATAAGATTGCAGGTTGCAGAATTAAAACAATCTGAATTTTCCAGTTTTGAAGGGAAAAGGTCAAACCTTCAATTATAAACGCAATACCATCCCACTGCAAATCCAAAAAGCAAAGGATGGCCGTTCTGGCATCCTAGACTTTTATAGACTTTTTTTTTTTGTCCTCAACTCTAAACTATCCACTGGGCCAAATTTACAAAACCAAGCAAGTGTAAAAACATGGTTGCGTAGTTTCTGACTCAGTGTGCTGTATAAACATTATTTGACCTCTAATCTGTTTCTGCTCCAGGCTGTCAACATTCCAATGTTTTTAGCTCTGTCTCTACAACTATCCAGAATTTGTTTGATGGGCAGTTTCTATAAATTGGTTAATAATGTTTTCTATGCCTCTGCCCAGCCTCATTGCTACCTTTGACCCCATTCCAATCTTTCTAATATCCATTTTAAGTGCAGGCATGCTTATGAATGGACAGTATCTTTAGGGATCAGCTCAACACCCAGGAGCAATTTGCAGGCTTTTGAGTTCCGCAGAACACTTCATGGGGCAGAATAAAGGGCTGCGGAGGACTCCAAAGCTTCCACACTCTTCCTCCTCTGAGCTTGGCAGTTTTCTTGCAGACGTTTCATTACCAAACTAGGTAACATCATCAGTGCACTCCTCCTCTCCTGCCAGCCTGATGAAGCTACTGCTCTAATTTGTGCTAGCGGAGGGTAGCTTTGACCCCCCCGTGCACTTCCCAAGGCTGCGGGGGGGCTGTTTAGATGTTAAATAGCGGGCGCAGCCCCCCTTCGCCCCCTGCCCTTGCCCAGCCAGGCACAGGGGATCAGCGCAGCGCCGCAGCCGGGATTCACCCTTTCCCACACCGGAAGCGCTGCCTGCACAGAGCCGCGACAGGTCCCCCACCTGGGCCGGGTCAAGCCGGCTGCGAGGAAGGTCTCCCGGCGACTGGCGGGATGGACCCGCGGCGGGGCGGCTCTCCTCCCGGCCCGCTCCGCTGCTGCCTTGGAGTCGCCCAGGAAGCTCAACGCGTGACGCCCCGAGCCGCGGAACGAGAGAGACGGAAAGCCGGGTTTCTTCCCCGGCGCCACCCAGAGCCCTCTGGCGGCGGCCGGAGACCAAGCCTCCTCCTCAGCGGGCGGGCGAAGGGGGTTCTCTCGGGGGAGGGGGGCGAGGAAGATACGTGCTCCCTCTGGTTACGGCAAGATTTCCAGCTAAAAAGGCGGCCAGGTTTTGAAGAGCAAAGGCAAACCTCTGGCTTTCACGCCAAATCATGGTTAGATGAAGCACAGCATAAGTTAACCTGATTATCTCTGGGTTAGCCTATTATTATTAGTATTAGTATTAGTATTATATTAGTATTATATTAGTATTATATAATATTATATTAGTAGGAGGCGTGTATAAGCCCACCAGTGTGCCTAAGGTCCCTCTCCTACTGTCCCCATTTATTTGTACCCATTTTCTGTGTTCTTTTTCATGTTTATATTTATTCCTGTTATCATGTACATGAGTGACTAACTGACTAACTAACAAATAAATAAATAAAACTACCCTGATGGTTTAGGATTGCATCGTAAAATTACACCAAGTTGTAAGTCGTTAACTACATTTTTGCACACTTTCAGCAGCATCTTCAGTTTGCACAGGGCTAGATTTCAAGATACATTGTGTAGAGAACTGGCAGCATTCAAGTTCTTAAATTATATTGATCATAGAAAGGCGTATATATCAGGAATATCTTCTAAGAAGAGTGACATTTGTACTGTACAGTATTTTCATGTACTCCTTCTGTCTTTGTTTGATCTCCTTTGAACTGGTTACTATCTGTCCATTAACATCTTTTAGTGCACCAATTTGTGGCTCACCTCCTGAGTTCAGAGCATGTTTGGATAATTTTCCTTGGTTTTCCATATCTGTTTCTTCAGTGTCTTTACAGATATTGTTGTAATACTGCTTGTCTTTGCTAACAGCTCTCTGAAATTCTGTGGTCTTTATCCTTCGTAATTTGGATTTAGAAACTGGGAAATCATGAAATTGCTCAATTGGGGATTAAAGCTGCCTGGGACATTTTGAACCAGTTACTCTCTCGCCTACCTACTTAACAACGTTGGCGAGAAAACACAGCTTTCAGTTATATACAATTAAGGTTCGCTATAAATATAGGGAATAAATAAAATTGATTTCATTCCACCATTGTCTCTGGTCTCCTATTAATGAGGTCCAGCAACTGAACCAGTGTAAATACACTTTCCTATTTGCTACAGCAGATAACACCACAGATAGTCCTTGACTTATGGC